TGTGTGTATTTTTCATTGTTGTGTTCACATTAAAATTACTTCCTGTGTACCTCAATATAAAAAGTACATACATTCAGATTATGGTGGTCCTACAATAAGGGTACATTGCACCAATGTTTCACCCAGATGTTAAAGTATTTGACAATTAAAATATTAGCACTGACGCACCTTTTTAGAGTATTATTTAATCATTATTTTCTGGGGCATGCTGTACTTAAATATATGAATGATGGTGGAATTAAAAAGTCCTGTTTTTGTACAACTTAAATTCAATTTTTTGTATTATGGACAGAGGTACTGATAAAAGGTACTGCAGGGTAACAGTACTGAAGTCCACAGTAACCAAGTCTACAGCTGAGACTTGCAGTCGGTAGGTCTCATCTTTAGCAGGTTGACTAGTCAAACACACTGAGGCAATCTCTATTTATGTGAGGACTCATTTCCCGTAGGCCCATCTCCACCTGAGAATTCTTAAAAAACATCTGTCCTGGAGCTTATCACCTTAACTTGCCCTCTGACCCTTAACCAACCGCACTGCCTGCTCCCAAAATCAACAGACAGGATGAGCGGATGAAACTGAGAGATAAAATGAGAAGAGAGGAACTGTTGAGGATACATTTTCGGACTTCAAAAGCAATCTGCAGAGAATTTTCTGGCCTTTGCCCCCGACTGTGGACCTGTGTGAGGGGATGACGAGGCCCGGAGGAGGGGGTTATTACTGGAGGAGACCAGGCGTAAAGCGACCCCCACCTCCTGACACGCACACACATACACTTAGCTCAGTTATAAATCCCAATCTGACCACTTATGCAGACCCACTCTACCATGCCAGTGCGTAGCATGCTTCCACCACGCAGCACAGAGAGGAGAGCAGGTGCGAAAACCTTATATATGTGTGTGTGCATGTGTGTACGGAGAGCATTAAAAGGCTTTGGTTATACTGTACTGTGCACACACAATCACATAGTGGTGATGATTGGGCTCTTGTCATGCTCTGTAAGTTTGCTGTAGGTGAGGATCTCCTGTCAATCACAGAGGGATAGAGGCCAGCCAAGGGTAGAGAGGAGAGAGGTTAGAGAGACAGAGAGAAAAGGGGGGCGGGGGGTTCGTGGTCTGCTTACCTGAAGTCATCAATCTGCACCAGAAATCGAACAATGTCAAAATGTCCTTTCAGCACCTGCAGCTCAGTGAACCGGTTTTTGGGCTGTTCCTCTCCGATGCACAACACAGGGCTTTTCTGCAGACACAAGAGGGAAAGTGGTGAGACAAACAGGCTGCGGTGGAGCCGTAGAGAGACTGAGAGAAGGCTGGAGCATCGAGAGCAGGGATGGAAAGTAGTGGAAAGTAATTCAGTACACTTATTTAGGTACAATTTTAAGGGATGTGTACTTGGTATTTTCATTTTCTGCTCCTTTATTTACTCCATTCCACTTGATTTCAGAGGGACATACTGTAGACTACACTGTTTTGTACTGATCTTTAAGCTTTTCCGTATCTGATTTTACATCACAACAACATACTATGGACTTATATAATGCATTGTTGATGAGACACCCCTTTAATCTTCTCAAATGGTTTAGTTAAATGAATCAAAAGCTGTTCAAGGCCCAAACAGATAAAACTATTCAACATTTCACCAAAAAAAAAGCATACAAATACACACCAAAAATCAAAAAATGAATACAGATGTGTAGCAGAATTCAGTTTTTTATTTATTGTCACCTTCATCAATTATCTCACAACCTGGCAGATTTATTTCATTTACTGTTTTCATTATACTGAAGATATCTGAAGTGCATTTAGCAGGTGAGTTGTTCAGTGAAGTTTAAAAGCAGAACTTGCATGTACTGAGGTATTTATGTTGGGGTATTGAGGATGCTTTTCACTTCCTTTCAGGAAATTACCTCTGGTTAATAGTTTCCTTACTGGTCTTACAACTGATTATGGTAAACATTTCATTCATTTTGTAACTTTGACAATGGAAATATTAACGACAGGAGATGTATTACAACAAGAAGGAATCTAGATATAGGCAGATTCAGAGTACACTTCGAACGACTGTCCTACAAGACACATGCAAAACATGGCAGTTTAACATGAGACGCTCACGTTAAC